ATATCGCACAAATTGGGGTGACAATTATAGCTCGAGAAAACATTTTCTATTAATTTTATTCTAGTCGCAATCCAGGCGAGAATAGTGCTCAGTCTGATCCTTGATTTCCATCGTTACTACAATGATTCTAGACGATAGGTAAGTGAAAATTTAGCTAGCCATTCAGGCATTTTCTCCTCTTGTAATAGAACTGGGATAATTGTTTTCTTTAATCTATCAATTGCATATGTTATTTCTTATCTACACGACCGACTTTCATAATATTCTTTTGTTAATATTGTTATAAGAAGATGTGATTGTTTAATGCCGTTGGCAATTTGTTCTCAAACATCGCCGACAGAATTAGCATTTTGTTTATCAATCCGAACATTAAAAGTTTGTGTTTGATTTAGTAATTGTTCTTGTGATACGAAACTTTTATCATGCGCATAACTAATCATAATTCAGATCAAATATAGGATGATATCTAAATCTGGATACATGTGAATTTTTCACGATGTAAGGACATACAGTGTGCAATGCTGGGTTAGCTGCGAACCTAATTGTTTAAAAAAATGTCACATATAAGTGAGCGCCGCTAAAGATGCTACGTTTGAGATGAGAATATTTAAGCATTAACTGCAGAAGTGTCGAACGTTACCTTCACATATTTCAGGATATAATTCGCAAAATAAAATAAATAATTCTAATAAAAACATTAATATTAAGCTGTTGTTGTTGTTATTGTTATTGTTGGGCGGTGGATCGGATGGTGACAACGGAGGACCGAAAGGTGGTGATAGTAAATTATTTATTTGTGCATTATGTAAATAATAATGAAGTATATTATCATCAGTGAATAATTTGGCTAATACAGTTAACGGTTTTGATATATGAATATTATTATTTGTAAATGTTGTTTTTAAATCCATATCAACAACCATTTGCAATACCTGATCCAATACTTTATTCATACAAAATTGATCTTGTTTTATTTGTTGAGCTGTAGTTAATAAACCTAGGACCATGCTTGTTAATAATTTTACTTGCATATTTGATTGCTGTTGCTGCTTAGGGAATTGTTTTACAATATTAATGGCATCACGTTTAAATTAGTTCATCTTCACATTCAACATGTCGGACTAAATTGTCTAATACAGGTATGAATTCTAACTGGTATTTATTCATTTCGTTTGTTTTCAATAAATGTTTAAGAATAAAATTTTGTAAATCAACTTTAATAAAAAATGGTATAGAATTGTTGTATCCGTCCAGTTTGTTAGTAAAGAAAGAAGAGGCTTCATAATTGAATCAAACTCTGTCATTAATTCTGATAATTTTTGCACTTGTTTTTGAATTTGTCTTGCGCTTATTTGAGCAAAAATGCCATCAATATACTTCAATACATTTCTTAGTGCGTTTTCATGTGATTGTATCAAATTCTTTTCTGTGAAATTACATACCGAAATAACTTTTGTAGCTACTTTAATGCTGTCGTCGTTATAATTGACCTTACTATACTATCTTCAAGATCGACTGACTTTAGACCATCTATACATGTAAAAAATACTTTGTGCAACTGATTTATGTCATTTGACGATGAAACTTTTTCAGCTAATTGCAGTATTAATTCACTACATTTTGGAAGATATTCAGTACCTTGTGATGTTTTATAAATGAAATCCTTTAATAATGATTCATATTTATCAAATAATATTTCACTATTCTGATTTTCAATAGATTTTAAATCTTGCAATCTTTCATATAAATTTTTATATAAACTAGTTTGTTCAACTGTGCTCTGTTGTTGTGTTGAATATTGATATAATCTTGTACGTAACAATCCAATAAAATGAGTATTGTCAATCCAAAATGGTGGTTGCACAGTTGTATTAGATTGTGATTCTATCACTTTTTGAGTTTTTTTTCGTTTTGGGCCTTTCTATTTCCATCTGAAGTAAATAACGGTGTAACGAAAAACTTTAGTTTAATTTCATTTTCTTTTTCCCTTGAGCGAAAGTATAGGGTCGTATAAAAAAATGTCTGATGTCCATGTCCGGAAAATAGTGCGGAATGGCTATTAACATCACCGCTTGGTGTTACCAAGAAGCTATTGACACTACTAACATGTGTCAACTAGAGTTATCGACACGTCTAATTAGCATCAATAGCATTAATTGAGACCAGTGCACCGAAACTCAGCCTAAAAAAAGGGACTTGAAGGCGGACATTTTTACGCCGGTTCTCATGATTATAAAAATCGTTTAGATGATCATATTCGGCAAGAGTACAGCCTCCTTCAGCTGAAATTGGATCTAGAACATATTTCTAGTTAGCTTCTGTCGATTATCTTTCAGCTTGCAAAAA